GGGCCGAAGGGCCTGTACTGCGTTGTAATGTTCTATGTTCTATGTTCTATGATAGCATTGCTGCAAGCTCTGAACTCTCACCATTTAAATCTGCAGCCATTGCCCAACCTCACCTAAAAAGTAGCAAAATCAGACTTCACCACCTAGATGCTCTTACTTTCCTTTTCTATAAAATCCCTACACTGTGGAAACAGGACCTTTGGCCCAACAAGTCCACACCGAACCTCAGAGCATCCCAACCAGACCCATCCCCCTATAACCCACCTAATCTACACCTCCTTGAACACTACAGGGAATTTAGCATGGCCAATCAACCTAACTTGCACATCTTTGGACTGTGGGAGGAAACCCATGCAGACACGAGGAGAATGTGCAAACTCCACACAGACAGTCACCCGAGGCTGGAATTGAACCTGGGTCCCTGGCGCTGTGAGGCAGTAGTGCTAACCACTAAGCCACCGTGCCACCCTTTGCCTTTACCTGTTCCTTTGTTTTACATTTACATTAGGCACTGTATTTATAAGAAGTGAATTCACACTGACTCTAAAACCTTGGATTACAACGCCATAGAGAAACAACCAAACATGTTATGCATTTGGATCTTTGATGCCCAGTTGAACACTCTGTGCTTCCACACTTGAAATCACTGATCATCTTTATTTCTATCACCCTAGTAGGATGCAAGTTTTGGGTTATTCCCACTCGCTGTGTCAAAAGTTCTTTCTCACAGCCCCCCTGCATTATTTGTCCAACATTTTAACAGTGTCCCCTCACCCTTGTGAGATCAGGTAATGGAACAGATTTTCAATGTTTACCACATCTAAACCAGTCATAATATTACACACAATAAAAATCAAAAGAACTGCGGATGCTGTAAATCAGGAACAAAAACAAAGCTGCTGGAAAAGCTCAGCAGGTCTGGCAGCATCTGTGAAGGAGAAAACAGAGTTAACGTTTCGGGTCAAATGACCCTTCCTCAGAACTGCTGCCAGACCTCCTGATCTTTTCCAGCAACTTTGTTTTTGTTCATAATATTACACACTTCTGTCAAAGTTCCCTTGCTCCCAGCTGAAGCTGTCTCTGAAATCCCTCATTCTGGAAGGAACTCTGGTAATTCACCTTTGTGTCAGAACATAAACATAAAACAATAATGATAAGCAGAAGGATATACTGGAAATCGAATTCTGTAATCATAAAGTAATACAGATTGTGACCAAAACAGGTTGCTTCCCGCCAACTCCACTCTTCTTTTAAACTAGAGCATGACTTCAATCCGAAAGTTCACTCCAAGTTAGTGCTATTGTTTTATAGATCCTAAAATCAGACAAGAACAGAGTTAGTTAAAGGATTTAAAACAGAAGCCAGTGCACTGTGGACTGGAAATACCTACCAGTTTCAAGGTGGAGCAAACACTAAGTGAGAATTATTTTATTTTCCTAAAAGCAAAATGCTGTTGATACTGAAAAGCTGAAGTAAAAATAGAACATACTCCAGTAGATCAGATGGCATCTATGGAGAGAAAGGCAAAGTTAATGGGTTGAATTTTATCAGCATCTTGTTGTTGACGGGCTTGGTGGCAAAATGGAATGGGAAGGTTTTGGAGGTGTTTGTCATTTTGCTAATGATGATAAAGCTGGCAAACATGCTGCCCTCTGGGGGCACTTAATTGACCAACTGGGCCCCTTTCAAAGAGGTACTGGTAGGCCATTTACCACTTTGGGAGGCCGTCTGTGAAACCTGGAAACATTCTACTGTGCTCCAGGGTGGAAGGTGCTCATTCTGGGCACCCCACAAGTAAAGGAATGTGCCCCTGATAGATACTCACAGAGCAACCACACCACCCGTCCTCAGCACCAACCATCCCCTCCCTCACTCTGGTCATTCAGCCTGCCTGTCTGGCACTGGCATCCACTATACAGTTGACTTCAAGGGTGCTATACCCTTGTAGTAATTGGAACCAGAGCCAGGTAGATCTCATTGACTATGAGATCCTTGATTGGGGCTGTTAACCTGGGCCCATCAGGGAGCTCTGGCTGACAGATATAAAGAGGGGATTTACAGAATCTCTTCAGCCTAGGCACTGGCTCTGAGCTGGCTAGTCAGAGACCATGTACAAACTACATGTAAATAAAGGGTGATACCAGCCTCTATGCAGTTATTTCGACACTCATTAGTGTGGCTCCAGTAATAACCATCACTGATGACAATTAATTTTACCCCAGATTATTCTCTCAATGTCTCCTCTATTATCTCTACATTTAGCAGGATTTAATACAGCGACCCTAAGATTCCCTGTAGCGTCACAGAATAACTGGCAGGAGGTGGGAGCAAGGGCTAGATTTTCAGGTGGAAATATATGCAGATGCAGCTCAAAAACACCAGTGTCAGCCAGCATAGTATTTTCTGTCATGGGCCATCTTCACAAAGGTGTGAGGAGGGCAACTTGACAATTTTCCCCAGTTCCTGATTAAAGCCCAAGAAGGCAAAATAAAGGGTTGCACTGCTTTTCCAGGGATGCAAAGACCGTAGACACTCTTTGGGCAGACCACGTGAAGAGATGGACTCCTGGAAGTCAGATGGTCAGGTTGAGAAGAGTGTGGAAAGTCCTGGTGACTGTCCCCTCAGCATAGGATCTACTGGTGAAGATGGATCAAGAACCAGTGCCACAAGGGACTGCAATTCTCCAGTCAAATGGCTATCTTCACCATGCTATTGTCCTTTAATGCAGTGACCTGAAAATAGGATGCCCCATCCATCCATTTGGGCCCTTCCTGTGGAGCGTTGTGTCCATGATCTTGCAAAGATAAAAAAAATGAACATGATCAAGCACTGCTATCCTCTGAGATCAAAGCTGTTCCAATTCACTGGAAGGCACGTGTTTTACTGTTGGCAGCTCATCAGCTGTGGCTCTGAGCCTTTAGGGGCAAGAGTAGGCCATTCAGTCTGTCAAGCTTGTCCCACCATTCAGTCGTTTCATGCCCGATCATCCTCAACACCTATCCTCAGTACTATCCCCATATCCCTTGATGTTATTAGCATCCTTCTGTCTTGAACATGGTCAATGATTGAGCTTCTCTATCCTTTAGGCTAGAGAATTCATCATAAATTCATCACCATCGGAGTGAACCTGAGAAGTTCCTCCATATCTCTGTGTTAAATGGGTTGGGGGTTCCATTGATTTGACAGGGGTCAGTGTGTGGTTGATGCAAACCCATGTTTAAGAGTAACATATAACCCGAGGGTTCTCAGCGTTTGGAGTTTCTGGATCAAAGACCTGTCCTGAGGGCTAGGGCCCAGCACTCAGTTTGCCAAAGTACTTCTGATCTTTGAATCTTCGCCTGCACCGAATCCCAGTTCTTCCTACCAGGCTTTGGATGCCTACAGTAGCAGGGATACTGAACTAGGCAGCCATGTCTGTTTGGTCTAAGTGAGTGACTTCCACCTACCATTCCCCAGAAAGAGAACCTCTCCCTTCTCACTCACAGCCTCTAGTATCATCTCCATGTAAATAAATAGGGGCTACTTTGCCCTAGATTCTAGCCATCTTATTTTCCTGATGTCCCAGGGTAACCAAAAAAAATCCAGCCGAAAGAGTTCTGTATTTTCTCACTGCCCAGTCACAGCAGTGAAGCAGTAGAGTCATCTTGTTTGAGGTGAATTCAATTTGGGGCCTGCTTCTTTCTGATGGCTGTTAATTGCCCATTAAACCCATCTCAATAGCAGTCAGGTGGGTCCATTGGTGACTTTCCTTCCATCACCAATGCAGATCCGGGTACCAAAAGTGGTCCTGACTTCTGTCTCCCAAACCTCCAAAGCAAAAATCCAGCTTCAAAATTTCCTCATCACCCTAGGAAAGTCCTGTGAGTATCACAACCTTATTCCACAGTATAAATTCCACTCCAACAACCTTCTGCTGGTAGACCATGACAGTCAGAATATGATCTGGCGGCTCCTGACCCTCTAAGTCCTCTGCCTCTAAGGTGTCTCCTGTGACCATGACCACTCTCTGCATTATAGACCTGTAGTATATACAGCCTAGACTGAGCCCCTTGGGCTCACTGTATCTGTGTTGACTCTTTGCTGTATAATTAGTCCTAATCCCCAGCCCCTACACCAATTACAAACTAACTTTGAAGTATTTATCCAAATTCCTTCTGAAAGTTTTACCCAGTGCATTCCATTTCATAATGACTCAATGTGTAATTCTTTTCCTTATGGAGCTCTGTCAAAAAAAAAAATCACGTTAAACATGTGTCCCCTGGTAAGTGCCCCTCCTTATTTTCTCCAACAAGTCATTTGATGATTTTAAATCACTTCTTTTGAATTTGCCCTTAGCCTTCTCTGAGCCAAGGAGAACAACCATGTTGTCGCATGGTCATCCTCTGTGCTATGAACTCTGTCTGTGTCCATGTCTAACAAAAAACATCTGCTCAAGTTCTATCAATCACTTGTCATTAGTAAGTAGGCAGCTATCTAAAGATACACAACAACTGGATGGAGAAAGACCAGCTCGTGCATTCACAAAATTTGGCTGAAGAAGGAACATGGCTCCTAATCTAAGTCTCCTACAATGTTGATTCATGAGTGTGACAGCAGAGGTTATCAATGGTCAGTATTGAAGAGTTGACCTGGAATCAATGCCTGGTAAGGCAGGACTTCAATCACATGTCAATGAAATGAAATAATGAATCTAAATCAGGACCTATTCAGTCCTCAGAACTGATGGTAGCTGGGAAAACGTCGGTTTATATGCCTCCCTATTTTCTGCATATAAATCAATGTTTTCCCAGCTACCATCCGTTCTGAGGAAGGGTCACCAGGCCTGAAACATTAACTCCAATTTTTTCTTCACAGATACTGCCAGACCTGCTGAGCTTTTCCAAGCAACTTCTGTTTTTGTTGCTGATTTACAGCATCCACAGTTCTTTGGGTTTTACCTATTCAGTCCTGTTGATCATTAACTTGAGAAGCTTTATCCACCCAATAAATTATCCACACATTGATTAAAGCACAGTCTGAGGAGCAGCACTGCAGCTGGAGACAGCTTGGGTCCAGCATGAAGCCTATTCACAGCCTCTTATGTGTCACTGTCATCCTGGTGCTAACTCAACTGGTATGTATCAAACTCTCAACCTCTAATTTTCTCAGTTTGTTTTTCCTCTCCTTTTCTCTGTATTGACCCCTGCCTGGACCTTTGGTCTTCTCCCTCTCCCCACCTTCTGGTATCTGTCAGGTAGCAACTGTGAAAGAGAGTGAGGGAGAGCCTAGACACTGAGTATTTACTGCTATTTGACCATGGAGTGAATCACACTGGACTCCTCTTCGCCTTCCCGTCAAGGTGAGGGAGTGGCCCTTTTTAAAGTAAATGCATTAAACAATCACATCAGAAATAGGATTAAACCCTGAGCCCTTCTGGTCTGAATTGTTATGAATCTTGACCCCTCTTCCTTACAGAACTATGATAGCACTTGACATCTACTGCTCAATGCTGTAGATAAAATACTGCACCCAGTAGCTCTGATCGAGAAACACACGTCTAGGTTTCTGTTTGATACTCTTGCATTCTGCATCAACTGTAAATTAAACAGACCACCTGTGTTTTGTTTTAATATGACAGCAACAATTGACTGAGGAGCAGCAGGTAAAAACCTACTCTAGAAGGCTTTGACCCCCTGGAAATGTTTGTGTGCATTTTCACAGATGGAAGTCCCCTGTGGGTGGGATACAATCACTTGTTATGGTCACCCTGCCACTCCATTGCTTTCACTTAAAATGAGGATTTCTGTTCCAGAGTCACAGTGCTGCAAAGTGTGTGAGTTTTTGCTCTGGAAACAGGCCTTATGAAAATGTGAATCAGAGATAGTAGGAACTGCAGATGCTGGTGAATCCGAGACAACAAGGTGCAGGGCTGGATGAACACAGCAGGTCAAGCAGCATCATAGGAGCAGA